CTGCTGCTGCTGCTGCTGCTGCTGCTGCTGTTGTTGTTGCTGTTGCTGCTGCTGCTGGCGCAGCTCCTGCGCCCGCGCTTTGGCGCTTTCGGCAGCGGTGAGCAGCGCGCACAGCTCTTCGTAGGAAGTGTTGGGCTGTAGGTACAACTGCGTCACCACGCGAGCAGCAACTTCAAACTTGCGGCGACAAGAAGCAAAAAGTGCTGCGTAGCGGCCCGCAGGCCGCTCCAGCCGGTAGAGGCGGCCGCTCACGCTGCTGCACCACAAAGAAGGGACCTTTTCGGGGGTGCTGCCGTAGCTGATACGCCTGCAGCAGCAACTCGCAGCAGCGCAGCAGTGCAACAGCAAATGCTGCAGGCCACGCGCTAAGGGGTAATTTCGTGTTACTCGACGGGAGAAGCAGCAGCAAAACAGCAGCAGCGGCAGCAGCAAGCAGCAGCAGCAGCTGCAGCAGACTGACCAGTCCCGCAGGCCTATGCGCACTGAGAACGCCTTGAGGCTCTTCGCCAGCTTAAGCGGCTGCGCTGCAACAGCAAGAGGGGCCTTTTCTGCGAGGCCCTCAGCAACAGCCCCGGGCGAGCTGCTGCTGCCTTCTGCTGGCGGCAGCGAGGCGTCCCCCTGCTGCTGCTGCTGCTGCGGGTGCTGAGACCCCGCGGCTCCAGCGCCCCCACCAGACGCTGCGCAGCCGGCGTCCGTCGCACCCAGCTGCTGCTGCTGCAGCAGCAGCAGCTGCTGCTGCTGCTGCTGCTGGGTTTTGCCGCACTTGCGGCCTCTGGTGTGGCCCTGCTGCTTGGCGCTGCGCGGGAAAAGCTGCGGATAAACTTCAGCAGCAACTGGATGGCTCGAAGCAATTAAAGCTTGTGGGGAATGCACGAGAGCGACATTAACCAGCTTCGCATACATCACCACTTCTCCGGGCTCTTCCTGCTCCTGCAGCAGCAGCACAGCAGCAGCAGCAGCAGCAGCAGCAGAGTAGCGGAACGTGAAGCCGGAGCAGCAGCGCCGATGCCGCCAAAGTAGCAGCAGCACAAAGCGGTGTTTCAGTGCGAAGCAGGCTACCGGTGCAGTGGGCCGCTGCAGAGGCGCTGCTGCTGCTGCTGCTGCTGAGACGCAGCAGCAAGGGGCTTGCTGCAGCAAAACTCACCAGAGCTTCGACAGGCAGCAGCCGCTCTGCTGTTTTGTTGTACAGCAAAAAGTCTGCAGCATAGCCGCACCAGCAGCCCTCAGGGGATTGCCACAAAAAGGCAGCAGGAACAGCAGCTTCAGCTGCATGCGACTCGCCGTACTTCGCCCACTGCAGGCACGTGCTGCTGCTGCTGCTGGTGCTGCTG